TCTTCATCATCTTCATCATCTTCATCATCTTCATCATCTTCATCATCTTCATCATCTTCATCATCTACATCATCTTCATCATCTTCATCATCTTCATCATCTTCATCATCTTCATCATCTTCATCATCTACATCATCTTCATCATCTTCATCATCTTCATCATCTTCATCATCTCCATCATCTCCATCATCTTCATCATCTTCATCATCTTCATCTTTATCATCTGAGAATCGATATTCTTTCTTCAGTAACTCTGGCGGAGATGTTGAGAAGTTAAAGTATCTAACACTGGTTAGTGGTGAGTATTCTTCATCCAAAAATCTTGAATGGTGCTGTACACACTAGTCGAATCTACGCCACATAGGTATTTTTCATATTGAACTTTCCATATATTTGATACCATATTATTCATTATCTGGATAACTCTCATTCAATAATAAGTTGTGACCTTTCCTTAACGCTAGCTTTACATGTATTTCAATGAAAGATCACATCTATCTGCTGTGCAAATTTTCGATAGGTGATATATTTACAATATTTCCTAAAAAGTTTCAAATTCTAACGTTGAAATTAAGTTTTTTACATGTTAATTCACTTTCAGAGATCTCTCCTGTTCATGACGTTGCCAAAAACCTGCAAAAACGTTCAATATTTGATTCTATTTCAAGGCTCATACGTTTGTGTACCATAGGGTCTGGCAGTTTGTCATATACATTGAACAATGCATTTGCCATATCGTATAAGCTACATTGGATTAGTCACGGTTTCTGCCGTTACAGTAAACTTGTCAAAAAAAAATGTACAGGGTATTGAGAGAACAGTTTCTGACAGTTAACTGATTACGGTTAGAATTTCAAAATTGAGCTTTAAAAATTATGAAACAGTCCCATTTGTTAACGAGTATTCGCGATAGAAAATCAGCGTACGACACCTATCGGAGTGCTTAAACGCTGTCAAATCGGCCTGTTAACTATGTTTTCATTGGTTCACATTTGTTTTTTATTTGTGCTTATTAGTCACATCACCAAAACAAACCGCTCAGGAGTGTTAGTGTTCAAACTGTTGCCGTGAGGTGGAGCGATGTGTTATTATCTATTGCGAATAGTATAGCTAGCAGCAAGTATTGCATAGATATATTCAAAGTTTAGACAAAGGCAACATAAATTCGATACCAACCTCCTGTGCACTGTATCCTATCTGGTTGGCAACAAAAGTGATTTCAATGAGCTGGATCATGTTTTGCCGAGTGTAAATTGTTTTGCGGCCCAAGGGGATGATGCAATCCTGCCCCATCAATTAATACGGATACGGCTACGTGATGCCACCCTCCACCCTCCGTACCTACCCTCGTCTAGCGCCCGACCGCGATTATTACAGTCGTTTGTTCGATTGAAACGAAAAAAAGATATATACTATACAAGGACCAGAGAATTTGAACATGTGAAAATAATTGAAAAATCAGTGAACCCCCATATTGATGAATATGACACAAAAAGTTCATTTGCAAATTATATCCTCAACCACCAACATTCTTTTGATATCAATAAACGCGTCCTTCGATGACTCTATAATGTTATCTCACTCAATGAGCGAACCCATTTGGATTGCCAAAAATTGTTCAAGTCTCTGGTTATTCATTAAATCAACTTATAGTAATATAGTTGTTATCTTTCTGTTTTGAATTTTTTCCTGCTTTGGTCTCTACTAGAGTCACTGGATGGTATTAATCAAACTTATACCATCCAGTGACTCTAGTCTCTACTACCCGCCTTTATGTTCATTCAAATATATGTACCTAGGTATCTATCTACGGACAGTTGACATTTGTCACTGTCATATGTGTCTTGTCATCACAGAACTTGTGGTTTTCTAAAAATGGGTTTGATATTTAATTTTGATCATGTACGTCCTCATAGGGGCACAGGACCCCTTTACAATTAACCTGACCCTTAACCGGTGCTTTGTATTTAATTCAGAGTTCTTTCATAATGTTTTTTCATTCCCACGTGAATAATTTCTCCATTCCATATATTTTTCATGATTAACTTGTATCATCTTATTGGGCCTTTGGTTTGTAAGGATTAAGGCTGATGATGGACACATGACTGTCCGATGTTCCCCTGAATAATCTCTTGATTATTAAACGTTGTGGAGATGATTTTGTATTTTCTAACCCTTTCACTATACAAGGAGGTTCAAAAGATACATGTTTGAGAATTCTAATGGTTTAAAACGTTTTTCAACTCAATTCTTATCCGGAAAACTTCATCGGTAGAACGATCCACCAAATTGAAGACGAACAAAATACACCACAATAAATACAACCATCAAGCACTGCAAATATACTCGTGGAACCATACATTCTTTGCTTAGAGAGAGAGAAGAAATTAAATTCTTGTTGACAAAGTTTGCGAAATATCAAGGTACCTAGGTATAATACATACTAGTCAATAATTAAAATAATGTAATGTACTCAAATAGGATATGTCTACTTTTTACTTCTTATGATGCTCAAGGTCACGTGGAATTTGGACTAGAAAATGTACTTCCAAAAAAGTTGAGTTTCAATTGTTTCTAACAACTCGGTGCCGACCTACACCTACCGTGTAACGTATACCTTGTATCTTCGGATGCCCTTATACGACCATTTTTTTACTGATCAAAACTCATTTTGCAGTGTTCTACCTTTTCTAGCAGCAGGGCCACCCTTATTTGAAACACCCTATATATTCAGTTTACAATTTACAAAGTAGGCACTAGGAAGACCAGCATTATCTAAAGTTCTGTGCATCATGTTTGTAAACCCTCAGAGCAAAAATCTGAATACACCACTGTATTTTTCTACTCTTTTATCGTTGTATAGGAACAGTGCGACACAAGGGCACGAGGCAATAACGATTTTGGGAAATGTCAATTAATCTCCACCACCATCACTTTTATAATATTCGAAAGGTTTTTCCGAAGGTATACACACATAAATTACACCGTACAGAAAGGGAAGGAAACTATTATGGGGGTTCCCGGTCCGTGTCAAGTGTTTACATAATATTTCAATGTTTGCCCTTGTCCCATGTGGCAAGGCAGTTGTTTCGTGATGGTTTTGAATCAAGCTAGCCGAGTAAAAATACTTTTTTCTCCAGTTAGAGAATTCAATTCGTCATGTGCAAGGTTCACGCATATTCTGTCCTATTCACTCATTTTCAATTGTGTTATTCAAAACGCCTATAGAAATATGAAATATATATAAATTTGAGAAAATATAGGCTTATGAATGTGCAAGATCAAAATATTGAACATCAGAAGGCAATAGATGAGTCAGGTATACCAAATTAAAGGAAAAATTAAGTCATGTGATTCATTGTAACATACTATAATGCTTTGATATAATCCCACGACACACTTGAGTCGTCTAGCTGGTATAGATGTTTCAAAATTAACTATTCTCCTCAAGATTTTTAGACCGGTTGAATAGCAACACTATTATATAATTTCGCATACAGAGTTCTCTGGATGATTTAGAATCAACGCTATCATGTCAGCCTTTGAATGAATAAAATCATTCAATGGCTGATGAGTACATTGGATATCCTTATTGAGAGGTATACAAATTAGTAATGGATCGAAATAAGCTAAATTCCAATGTCCTTCAGAACAAAGAGTTATGTCGATTGTATATATACAGGAAACAGGAACTGTGTAGAAGATTATATGAAGACATTGTGTCATAGTGACGTACACCCATAGAAAAATCAATAACATGGAGCAGTCTGGCGATCACCATACATGGAGGTTCCGCAATGTTCTCATCTTGGCCCTATCTCATTTTGAATTCTCATTAATAGTATAAACACATACAAGGTTCTAGAGACATTTAACAAAAGCAAGTTACATTTTGGCTAATACAATAAAGTATAGGGATATCAGTAAAAATTCAAATGAGGTATCTGTTTGAATATACCTCTTCTAAATATCAATTCTACTGCAATATTCAGCTAATATCAACCAGAAATTTACACATTATTTATAATTATTTGTGTTTTCCCCTATTCACAATATACCGGATATAAAACACTCGATAAATATTACATGAATGCGCCTATGTTTGAACTACAATTACGTCGATTGATTGATTATATTTATCTAATTAGAAAACGGGGTGTTGCCTAAAAAAATTCGATTCCAATAAAGCCATTCACACTTATTATTTTCTCCCGACGTAACTTGCCCGGCTAATAATATATTCTTTTGATAGTTTTACGAATCATTAGGTTATGACCGAATAGTTTAACGGGGGGTTAATTATTGAGGGGGCGCGCACCCTCGTCTGTAAATAGAGCCCTGTTCATTTAAACGGGCGCAGAGAAGAATGAGGGTGTAATGTGTACAAGGGGTAGCTTTTGAATATTTCATGACCTTTGCAGTGTGACAGCTGTTAGGGCAGATTCTCTATTGGCACTATTTTTACACTTGATGTTGCAAGGAGCACTGAGTGATTTGCTCTTTTTGTCCCCACACAATAACACTGGCTGATTGAAATGTCGACGGCACTCTAACACCTGCTAGAATTTTCACGAAAATTGTATTGGAGACTCATTGAAATTATTCATTGGTTTTCATTTCATGATGGGTACATATTCGCTCACTTTTGATTACCTTCATAATATTTTACTAGGTGTTGACTCAGTAATAATATTGAATTTTTCATTAGTGAAGTCTTGTCGCTCCAACCGAAATGGTTATTGGTCCATATTTCAGAGATTTAACCTTGAAAAAAGAATCAAAAGAGATCGAGACCAGCTGTGATCTAGTAACATATAATGAAAGGATTAAGCATTTTTATCCATTGAGGACCCCTTTTAACCCTAACTCTCCAGAATAATCTCTTAATGATAGTGTTTAGCTTGGAGACTATGTGATCTGAATAGCAAGTTCACTAGGATATAATGAGTCATCCGCTCTACGATTCTTTGCGTATGCAATAAAGCGTAACTTTGTTTCAGAATCGATAAAATTCGGGATAAGCCGACTAGTCAAATCCGACGAAGAAGACCAAATAAATAAATGCTACAAAAAAGAAGAACGCAATTACTACAGCGGCGACGAACAAACATCACCTAGCTATGACAGACCCAAAAGCTGGGACAACCATTCACCCAGACCGTCACCCAGCACCTCCCCAGAACTAGAAGTTGATTCCCCCCTACATTCGAGATCAAACTCCCCGTTCCAAAGACCATCTTCAGTAACGGAAATCCAAAAGATCGACTCGTCCAGCAAAAAGTCAGAAGCCTTCTCCGTGAACGCCCTACTCCGACCTGACAACCCCAAAAAATCCGACAATCCCTGCTACCAGGAAACCATATCAGTCACCCGCTCCTACCTCTACCCACCTTTTGTCGACCTAGTCAAGGACGCTCACCTCAAATCAGCGCAAGACTACACCTCGCAGCTGATACCGAGAAGTTTCGTCCACCCGGGCTTCTTCCCGCCTGGCCTCTACCAGAAAGAAGGCGAAGAACGCAACTTTTTACCCACCCCCACCTCTCTGTACTTCAGCGCAGTCGCAGCAGCGATGGCCAGCGGTCACAGCCAACCAGGCCACTACCCCGGACCACCTACAGCTGAAGAGCTGTACCGGCTGAGGCACCATTTGATGAACAATCCATCGGGGGTGCATCCTCACCACCATCATCTGCTGATGAGGCCGGGGATGATGCCTATCGGGGACGTTTACTCATGTATAAAGTGCGAGAAGATGTTTTCCACGCCTCATGGCCTGGAGGTGCACGCTAGGAGATCGCATAACGGCAAGAGGCCGTTCGCCTGCGAGCTCTGCAACAAGACTTTTGGACACGAAATCAGCCTGAGCCAACATAGGTGAGTGGAGTTTAAGGCTCTTCGACTACTTTTTGTTGACAATTGTGGGTTTTCAGAGCTGTACACAACGTGGAGAAGATCTTCGAGTGCAAACAATGTGGGAAGACCTTCAAGAGGTCATCGACGTTGTCGACGCATCTGTTGATACATTCGGATACAAGGCCTTACCCTTGCCAGTATTGTGGCAAGAGGTTCCACCAGAAGTCAGATATGAAGAAACACACCTACATTCATACGGGTGAGTACACTTTTTTTCTAGGTATGACTGTATGTACGCTTCGAAATGAGAACGAAATTCACCACTAAGCAGTACTGAAATCATGAGTTGATACATTATTTGGTATGAGAATGAGACCTTGTGGAGAATTCTTCCTCATATTTTTCGTGTCATATTGGCTTTTGTTTTCGGGCTACCACTACTTCTTTATTCTTGGGGACTGTGGGAATCCTGGAAATACCTGATGGTTTTCTGTACCTTTGATAACTACTGACTTCTAAACCGAAATTGATACTATTCGGTATGTATCATATTGAATACTGTTGTGCATAAAATAAGTCATATTTTGTTTATCACGCATATATAATATGTTAGCCAGCAAAAATAGAAGAAATTTTACGATTTCGGACCGAATTGAATAGAACTGTGTTCGTGTCTGATTGTTCAGGTAAGCGACTACCGATGTTGTTTGTTCTCTGACAAGTTCGCTCCTGACCTGATTTTAATTATTCCCGTTTCCTCGACTCCGAGAAGTTGTGCTGCAGCCGCAGTGTTGTTAACAGGCGAAGTTATAGCCCTACGTCTGGTCTAATTAGTGAATAATTCATTGGTAAGCCACGTCAGCAATTAATAACGGCCTTACAGCTAAGACGCTCCACCTCGAAAGGGTTGAAGGGCTGAAGTGGGATACCTTTATAGGCGTCACTTCTTAACGGGTTATCACGCGGAGTGATTGATTTAATGAAAGTCGCTTTAATTTGTTGGGGAAGCTATTAGTGACTACGTTTATTCCGTATGGATATTTGGTATGCCCAAGATGATCTGACCAAATGCAGACCAAAAACCTTAGTTAACGCATGTTTACACCACGTATCTTCAGTTGACTAACGTTACCAACTTTGTTTCGATTTGATTATCATTTTGAGGTTTGGTTGTGGAACTCCATTTGAATACGTAAATGATTAAAAATACCTTTTGGCAAGATTCAAAACTAGCTTGAATGGGATGAAATTTTGTATTGCAGAAAAAACTGGCACTCAACTAAAGTCAAAGCTGTACAAAAGTAGACCAAAATGTTTGCACCATCTTGGTCATCATCGTCATCATACTATTTTAGTCTGGTACTCAACAAATTTCGGTACCAAACTAAGCTGGTAACTTTACCAAGTGAACAGTTTTTACCCCACTGACCAAGAGTATTTAGTTAATATTCAGTCATTAGTCAGCTAACCAATAAACACGGTATGAACGTGGCCAATATCGACTCGTTTTTGAGAGATATTTGTTTTGTGTGAATTGTGTGGAGTACCTCTCAGTCACTAGTCACTTGGCAATACCTGTGATTCATTTTGAGATATGAGGAGTGGTGAAATACTCTTTGTAATCGGCATTCTCATTTAGAGTATTTTATAGATTTCGCTGGTGAAAAATCCATTTTTGCTTTTTATGATACGAGTCCATACAATGATTATTCAGAATGTTTATTCAACTTGTCAATTATACCTACATTGACATCTAAATAAATACAAGTATTTCGAACCCAAAGAACGACACAAAAAAATTTTGGGGTGACACCCCTTTGTCCATTCAATGTTCTATACTGTGGAAATTCTGACGTCACCTCTGTACAAATTTCCATGAAGAAGATACAATCACGCGAAATTCAATAACTTGAATGGTCTTGAAGTCGAATACTTTTTCTATTTTTTTGTTTACTCAATTTTTGATATGAAATCTGTCTAGACTGTATCATATATTGATGTGCTGAATATGTTCAGAAACAACTCGAATAGTAAACTACAAAACTGCAATTTTTCGAACTATTTCTACCGTTTTATTTTCGAATCTACTGCTTTTTATGTCAATTCTATACAGCTTTTCTCATTCTTGACCTGGCAACACTGGCGGAGATGTACGATAGCAGAATCAGTATCTCTTACTATGTTGCCGTTTACAAGCCCTATATGTGTAACGATTGAGCAAACATATACGCAAGAAGAATGATGAATGGAAATACTCCGAACCTGAGTAACAAGGTTTGGAATGACATGACATGACGAGCGTAAAGTGAATACCCTCGATGTAGGAGTAGGAGTTGTGTAATGTGGAGAGTTGTAGTAAAGCACGGTTTCGCTAGTCTCATAGAAATGGAGATCTCTATCTCGAAGCAAACTCATCAAAGCCAATCATGCAATCCTCCCGAACGCCCACTCCATGTGCACTTTATTAGATTTGATTAAATTTATAGACAGTTCCGAATGACATCCGAGATAAAGCCAATAATCATAATTGGAGCAAAGCGTGAGAATCATCTGCGGCACCGTCGTGGCCGGGATTACAATTCAATACTAATATAATTATCATTATTGGCTTTCCTAATCCCGTCAGCTAATATAGAAGAAGAAACCCTTCGAAAAACTCCCGACCGACACGCCAAACAAGCCCTTCTAGCCATATTGCGTAAGCGTCAAAGTCGCCTACTTCGACCCCGTCATCCCCGTCATCTTCTCCTCTAGCAGGCCGCGAGAGGGTGATGCTATCGAGTAACTCTACACCGCGGGGATCCCCGGACACCATGCGGCGGTCTTTTGTCCGGGAGCGTGCCTCTAATGGGCCGGAGAGGCTCTAGCTGGGCGTTTTGGGGCATCCGACACCCGGCTGTATGAGTGCCTCGACTGTCTGTCTGTGTGCGTGCGTGTGTTTGCAGTCGCTGAAGTGGAAACGCTGGCGGTCGCAAGTGCTTATAGGTGGTAATTCAGTGGCGTAACTAGCATGGGAGGAGTGAGGCCCACAAGCTTGTTCGACTACCCAGGCAATAGTTTAAAGGCAATCTATTCAGATAGCCAGGCGGCAATCGAAGCAGTCAACTCTATGCAAGTTAACTCAAAACTAGTATGGGACTGCTCAGAAACCCAAAATGAACTGGGCAGTCAGAACAGACTGACTCTAGCATGGGTACCAGCACATACAGGGTACGAGGACAATGAAGCGGCAGTCTCACTTGCCCGAGCAGGAGCAAACAAAGCTCTAAATGGCCCAGAACCCTTCTGTGGTATTGCGAAAGCTATACAAAAGAATGGTGGAACATCTCGCTAGGAATGAGACAGAAATGAAGTTTAACTAGAATAATAGTGGGACTTCTCACAGGGCATTGTAGGCTCAACAAACACATGTGTACGATAGATCTGACTGAAGAACTGCTCTGCAGGTTCTGTCAGGAAGAGGAGGAAACAGCAGTTCACATACTTTGCCACTGTGAGGGCTTGTCAAGACTAAGAATCCTTACGCTGGGTGAGGAAAAACTAGGAGCCCAAAGATACACAGGAGATCTGGAAGCTAGCCTATGGAGTCTCATAGAGAAGGCGGGGCTAGCCGAAGGACTCTAATCGATTTTGAGGGCAGACACAATAGATCTGAAAAGGTCGCGGTGTGAAGGCAGATAGCACGAAGGCTCCATTCTAAATCTTCTAAATCTACACAGGCAACCAGATGACGTTTCAGTGACGTCTTTTTACGTCAGTAGAATGACCAAGGTGAAGTCAGGAGTTGACGTCGTATGACGTGATAAATGACGTGAATAAGTCACAGCCCAATCACGTTTATTGACGTCATTCACTCAACAAACTGTGACGTCAACATGACGTTCAAATTTGGTGATGACATGTAAAAAAGTTTCCTCAAACATGGTGTGATAATCGCCACTGACCTCTGATGACATTTAATATTGATGATGCATTGTTGAGTCTGCTTAGTGGTTCCTCCGGTTTCATGTCCATTCAATCGTCTATTCAGCAGCGCTATCCCTCAGTACGCATCTCCATCAGAAACAAATCAGTTACTAGTATTTGTATCAAATTTATGTACTTTGTGTCGGCGAGATGTAAGCAAACCAAGAATAGTTTGATAGCAATGAAAAGGATGTTGGCGAGTTTAGCTTCACTTTGTTGAGTAACGTATATTCATGCATTATTCGTGGGAGAAATATTGACAACATAAATATGGATTTGACAACAATTCTAGAATGGGGATCCAATAACTTGATAGATTTCATTACAAACAAAACACAAGGATGACTCTTCTCTAGGAAAGCCGATCCCACTGTGCCCAACATAAGCCTGTCAGGAGTAACCATACCTTTGAAGACATCCATTTCGATGCTTGGTATTACTATTAGCAATAACCTTTCTTGGGAAAATCAGGTGAGATCAATTGCTAAAAGTGCATCCCAAAAACTTGGTTTTCTGTTTTTGGGCCAGGAGCTTTTTCACTTCCAGTCAGCTGCTTATGATCTATAAGGCACAGATCCTACCTGTCCTGGAATACTGTTCCCATATTTGGAGTGCAGCACCCAAACATACCCTGTCCAAAAGAGGGTAATTCGTCTCGTGGGTGATGCCTTGCTCACAAACTCACTCACTTTCCTGGATCACTGTAGACGAATTGGCGATCTGGCCCTATTTCATAGATATTTTCATGGAAGATGCTCTTCTGAAATATCAACAATTATTACTCCATTGGCAGTCTCCGCGAGATTAACCCGTCGAGTTGAGGCTTCGCACCCCTTCGTAGTCACTTTGGAGACCTGCAGAACATCTCTTTCCAAAGACTCGTTCATCTAACAAACAGCGAGGCTCTGGAACACTTTGCCAAGGGAGGTGTTCCCCGAGGCATATAACCTCCAGAAATTTAAGAAGAACACCAATTCCTATCTTATTTCCCTTGGTGCTCACGATGTTCTCTGAACATTACAGGATATCCCTTTTCGTGGGAACCAGAACATAAAAAAAACAATTCTATATGTTCACGCATGGTAAATTATTTCTTCAGTTAGTGCTAGCATAATTTTCTAATCATAACAGAAAGTCCTCATTATCGCTGTATGTAATCGTTGCATAGAAAATACTTGAAAACTTGAGATGAGTTTTTGTAATTATCCCAGTAAAACACCCAAATGTGACTTGACATTCGCTACTTTTCGTGAGCAAAAAATTCTCCTATAACGGCCAGACAGCTTTATTCGACTTCC